GAAATTAGATGCTAAACAAGCACGTTTCCCCATAAACCAGTTCAACTACACATCATCACTTCGTCCTGTTCAGGTGAGCATCGGCGATCGTCGGCTTTCGCGATCTATTAACTCGTTGCTTTCAGGCAAGCAAGCAAGCAAGCAGGGAAGCAAGCCGGCGCAATTAACATCTTTCATCTCACTTCCCTTTCAACTCGTTAATTCCAAACAAGCAAGCCATCTTAATTAACGCCTTTATGTCACTTCCCTTTTATCTCTTTTAGTCTCATGGACTCGCTATTTCATTTTCTACTTGTTTGGTATTACTGCACACTGACAATCCGTGAACAGATCCTCATTCAGAATGGCTCTAAAATCAAGGGCTGGTGGGCCACTTATCATTTCATTCTTACGGCTCTCACAGCTGTCATGCTGATTTGGTAAGTATCACTTCCTCTTTTCTCTTTCGTTTTGCGTTTCATGAGGCACACGTCCCCTACCGCCTGTTTCCTTTTCATTTCCCTAAACAGGCCGCACTCTCCGTCGTACTTAGGCTTCCGTGACCAGTTTATGTTGTACTCCTTCTATATAAGTGAGTCATTCCGTTGGTTTGCCTATATACTAATTATGCACAATAACCGATTGAAAGCATTTTACCCTCGCGCCCCCCCTGTATTCTTGGTTGTGCATTTCTTCGCACAAAAGCGAATCTACTTTACCCCCGTTTTTGTTTGCGCGTGTATCACTTGGACGCAACAAGATTGATTAATGTGCCAAGTAGCTTTGCGTCGTGATTAACTTCACTTCGAACTATGACCCAAACGAAGGGTGACCAAATTGAAGTCCAGATACTTTGCGCCTTCTTTCGAGTTGGCAGTTTTAAGTTGCAAAAAGGAACCAAACATTAACCCCCCTGAATGTATCCTAAATAATATGAAGCGGCACTAGTTCATACTCGACAGTTGAACCAGAGTTTGAACTGGGAATTTTAGCTTGTGCACTCGGTCACCAAAAATGACAGTGTAGGCGTACGTAATTATTGTCACAGGCTTTTGTTTAACGTCCACATAGGGCATTTCGGAGTTCGGTCCTTGTAGAGATGCCTGGCCCGTAAGCTGTAAATGGACATCTGGTAAGACGGGATTTTCTAAATAAACTTTTGAAAGTTTTCATTGCTTAACTGACAATAGTAGTTTCAATACACAAATTACACATAAGTACGATTTTCGTAGAGGCCATGTTAAGTTGGAGTCTGTGCAGTCTGTCCCTCAGTCCTGAACAATATTAAGTTGTTTCATCGTTGGGAAACCTTCCAGTTCATGCCTGTCAGCACTTAGGGACATTCTTACTATCTTTTGACTCTGGCGGAAGCCAG